AAAGAACGATTACTTGTCAAGAGAACCAAATCACCCCCCCCAGCCCCTCCCAGCCCCCCCAAACCCCCTCAAAACACTGAAGCAACTTGTACCGCTTTCCCCTCAGGACACGAAATTTGCGGCAAACGAAGGTGATGGAACCTAGAAGTTGCTCAAGGATTTCTGGTGCAAATCAAGGGAAGCTTCTGAATGAAAAGGCGCATCATTTGGCGGTTGGCTCTCTGGCGTCTTGGGGGACACGAATGTTACGAGACTCCTTTTTCTGACACCCTAAACCCTAAACCCTATACCCTAATCCAGAATCATGTTTCGCCCTAAGCGACAGAAGTTCCTCCATGCCGAGCCGTCTCAAGGTCGGAGCGCAGAGATATGGGAGTTTCTCAAAATGGGATTAGGGTTTAGGGTTTAGGGATGGGTGGGGGGCTCTTAGGGATTCTGAGATTCCATAGGGACTATTTAGAAAATTACTTCCATGATGTCCTGCCATCTTGGGTGTGCATGAGATCACTTCTGGAGACTCCCTGCCATCCCTAAGATCCAACATGATGGCGATACAGCAAAGCACACTTACTCACTGGGAAATCAAGTGAGTTGTCCACACCTCGGGAGCCCAATGTCTTTCAGAAAAAACGCTTGAAATCGTGGTGCCTTTCTGAGAGTCCGCAGAGGAATCTATCAAAATCATACCCAGCTCCAATCTCACTTACCAGCATCCCTTCCGGATCCCTGCGCGATTACTGAGAGGCTTCACAAAAAATCCGGAGCCCTTCTAAGCCCCTTAACTGATAACGCTCTAGCTATGACAACCCTTGAAAAGCGGATCAGAGGTTCTGAAGATGCTCCAAGATTTGATCTCTGCAGCTAGCCCTGTAATCCATGTACACGCCCTACTTTGGCCACACCAGTCCCGTAACAACCAATATCGTCTGAGCCTAGAGTAAAGCTAAGCCCGAGCCCTACTCTCCACTGCAGAGCCCCCCCCCCCCCCCAACCCAAGCCCTTCAGTCCAACATGGGCAAGTAGCCTCTTCCTAATCTTACCCGCTTGAGAGTTGAACGCGCTGTCGGCGGTGGACCTGCCTGGACTTGCTGCCACTGACGACCTGTCAGTTTCTGAAAAGGAAGGGGGCTTGTGAAGATTCTCCATTGACTTTTGAGGCAGCACATACATGAGCTCCAGTATAAGTTTGACATAAGGATCTTTATTCAACACATCCTGGGGTCAGGCGTTCCTGCTTCGGTTTCTTATTACAAGGACTACTTGATTTGCGGATCATATGGTGAAACCCTTGGAAGAGTGTTTAGAATAATCCCAAACATCCCTCCTCTGATTCCTCCTCTGCCTCTGCCTACTGCTGTCAGTTGGTTGCTCTAGTTGTGATAGGAAGACTAGAAATCATCATAGCAGAGATACCGAAGACCACTGAACCGGCACCACCATCATCATCATCGTCGACGTCATCATCATCATCATCATCATCATCATATTCTCCTCCTCCTGATATTCTTCTTCATCTTCCTCTCATCATCTTCTTCATCATTAACTTCTCACGACCATCAACAGCACCATCATGTCTTCTCCGACTCCTCATCATCAACATCATCATCAGCAGCATACTCAATACCATCACGACCGTAGTCAGCATCATCATACTTGAATGGCTATCAGTACTGGGTTCCAAAGCGCGGCTACAATTCTGCAAGTTCCTTCCAGCGCAACTATCTCAGGAATGCCAGACTTGCCGCATGTGACAAAACACCAAACCCAAAACCTTGAAACCTAAACTGGAATCTTGTGGAAGTTTGGGGGGGAGCCCCTCAATACACGTAGGGGTGGTGTTGATATCGCTATAAGTTAGAGGGGCATCTCAAAACGGCCCGGAGGATGATTTTAAGTTCATGTAGAGTGTGTATGATCTAAGGAGTTCTGTGAGGGAACGTCACTTGTGCTGTGAAGAAAATGTCGTTGAAAGATGACCTAAACCTTAAACCCTAAGCCCTAAACCTTAAATCCTAAAAATCTCTTCTCCTAAATCCTAGGCTCTAAACCTTCTACCCTAAACCCTGACCGCGTCCACAGTTCCTTCGAGCCGCCCTGTCTCGCTCTTAACAGTCTGGGTCGGGCTGGCGATTTTCATTGCAGCCGCGGCTTGGATCTTCCTGGTTGGAGGGGTCTAGGCCTATCGGGGGTTGACATATAATAGGGTTAGAATATAGCATAATGGAAAAGAGACTGGAAGCTACTATTTAGGGTTTGGGGCTTGGGGTTTAGGGCTTAGGGACTAGGGTTTAGGGTTTCTGGTTGGAAGGCTTGGGGTTCAAGGGAAGTAGGGCTTCGAAGTTTTGGGTTCAGGGTTTAGGCGGGGATTTTGGAATCTGGGGTGTAGGGGACGTTTAAGAATTTCGGGTTTTAGGGGTTTGAAGGGTGTTTACGAATTTTGGGCTTAGGGGTTTTGAATTTTGGGTTCGAGGGTTTAGGGGTTAAGGAAGTTGGGGTTAAGGGGTTTGGGGACTTGGGGTTAAGAAAAAAATGGAAAAATGATATTGTCACTATTATCGCTATTCTTACCATTATGACAAGTATTATTGTTTTACTATTTCTAATACCAGTATTCTATCAATATTAGTGTTATTGTTCTTATTATTGGGATTAGGGCTCTGGGGGTTTGAGGTCAAGGAACTTTCGTGCTTAGGCATTTGCGGTTGAGGATCTTCCTCCAAACGCCTTTCACAAGTTTTGAGACATCCCCTATTTGTATCTTCCGGGGGGGTAAAGTAACTCTAAACCCTAAACCAGTGAGCTTCCAATGGAACATGCGGGCCTAAATAAACCATGCTTGTGAGGTACCCTGTACCTTCATGGCCAGGAAGCTAGAACCATTCGGGTTTAGGGTTTAGCGATAATGTTGGGAACCATGGCTTGGGGCTTTCATCACAAGAAGTGAGGACCCTGTGGTATTAAATGTTGCCCATTGTGGTATATCATAGTATACTGGGAGTATCTTATATTAGGGGGGGAGTAGGGGGGTTGTAGCAAGATCGCAAGAGGGTTCTAGATGGAGTCAAGAAGTGAGAGCATGTGCTGTCAAGCGCTGCACATACGCAAAATGGAATATCTCAATCAACTGAACAACTCCTCATCACACATATGGGTGGGCCTCGTTCCCCCTCCGGCATTCGAGTCGTGTGTGGACTGCTCATCGGGAGGTAAGCGGGAGAAAACAGGTGCCATTTTACTCTCAAGAGGTGGAAAGGCAAACAGCCTAACCTGCAAATACCTCAGTGTGCAAGAACGGGAAAAAGCATGGCTACATCGCAACTTGAGGTCCCAGTCAACCCTCTACATGATAGAATCCTGTTTGCAAAAGCGACCGTCTCAGGAGCCTCAACATCCATAACTCAAACTTAACCGAGATTCTTGGCGGCGCGCTTCCACCCGCTTGCCTGGCTGCTGGCTGTTCGTGCACTCTGGTTTTATTTGGATTGCTTTGAGGCTACTTCTGCTGCTTCTGCTGCTGCTACTCAGCCTCCTCAGACTGCTAGTTATATTCCTAGCAACGTCTACCAGCCAGCAACGAGTCACCGCAAAGGGCTTCAGCTGCGCCGGCGACTCTAAAGGCTCCGAACGCTCCGACGCCCATGGTAGCGTCGGCGACAGCGACTCCTTGCCGCCGGGGAGTACAGTTTAGAGCTGATGCAGGTTTAAAGACCGAAGCTCCAAGAGTAAAGGACGAGACTAGTAGCATCGACAGCAACAACAACGTCAACAGCATTGCGCCATCGCTAGCAGAGTAATTGTTGTTGTCATGGCTGATGCCTGCGTAGTGCTGTCGTCGTGATTGTCGTAGCAGTAGCCAGAGGGGCCGTAGTGGTGGGCGGCGGGAAAACGATAAATACTGGCGGTAATGTTTGCGAACTATGGTGCAAGTGACTAACTGCAAGTACAACTGCGAAGTAGGGTTGTTTCACAAACTTCAACCTTCTTAAAACAAGTCTGATGTTGAAAGTACAACCCTCAGCAACGCAAGCATCTGGGGGCTGCACATGTTGTAAATTCTGACAAAGACCTGGGGTATCTTGAGGTAGACACTGCCAAGGGTAGGCCCTGGTAGCCTGATGCACGTACGAGGAGCCGCACTGGTGCCCCCAGCAAATTTGAGACACTTACGTGAAGACGGACATCTAAACTGCGCTGGTCCTGTGAGAACTTTTGCAACGCTGACACCTCGGGCGGAAGCGGATCTTTCTCGAGCTCCTTGCAACATGCCGGTATTGGAATTCCTCTCAACATTGATCATCAATCGCTCCCGGTTATAATACACGATATGAGTTGGCTGGAAGTCGAGTTTTGGAAAATTCCTCAGGAGGAGACTCTATCTATCAGGCCGAATAATTGCTTATGCGTGTCCGTTATTATTATTATTGTTATTATTATTTTTATGAAGGAGGCTCTCATAATTTAGAACCGCTTCCCCTCCCCTAAGTGTCAGCGATAAAATGCCCCTAAAAGCAAGACGCCAGCTGGTATACACATTGGGCGGCCGGGCGGGATGTGTTCTAATGGGACGTAAGAAATGGTGTCGATTTTGCTTGCTAATCAGGCAGGCAATATTTACAGTCGTGCTATACGGTGTGCACGGGGAACAGTTCCTTCAGAATAAACTGCACGACATCAAAATGCAACTCCTCGCCACAACCCACCTGATGATGTGGATCCGTTTATTCTTCAAATCCAAAACCCTACACCCTAAACCGTGAACGCTCAGCCCAAAGTCTCCAGAATGATCCGGACCTCCAAACTCCGTTTTTTTTTGACGCCGACTTACAGCAACGATTGGGTTTGGACCAAGGTCGGCTCCACTAGATGGGAGCCTAAATAATTGCCAATGATCTAGAAACCTTTGAAAGAGGTACGTAATAGTATAAGGTCCCTCGAACGCGGTTATAGGGAGTATATAGGGGTTAAATAGGACTTGATAAGGGTTTAGGCTTAGGGATATGACCCCGATAATGGGGCATTAAATGGAAAAAGAGCATGGACAACGAAATGAAAACCTGGTTTTTATTGGGATGCCTAGGGATGATATGCTCCTCCAGGTAAATGAAGTCTTATTGAGGTAGTGCACACTATCCACAAAAGTTGCACAATGGCCAGTAACCTAGGCCGACACTATTAGTAAGTACTGCTGTTGATGCTAACAAAACTGCATGACCTTATTATAGTAGGGTATAAGGTACTATAGGGTCATGCAGGATTGTTAATATCCACTGAAGGACCCTTGCATGCAACAGCAAAGCCGGGCTCAAAGCAAACCTCCTTCTGAAAAACTCTTCCGATCACTCCCAGAAGTGCTCCCGGGACCACGGCGCAATATGGGCTGTTGTCCAACTACTTAGGCTGCTAAAGAATCTTTTGAAGGTAGCTATCACAAGTATTTGTATTATGTAGCTGTTTTTTTCAGGGTGGGCGTCTCTAGCGGTAATGGAGGCCTATTTCACGCCAGCAACAGCCATAAAACCTCATGCGTTGACAGAAGCCTGCAGGGTCACAGTCGTAAAACACCCCGGAATGATAAACCCAAAGCCAGCAACCGCAAAAAACAGAGCCCAAAACCTTGAATCCAGGTGCCTAGAGTATACCTTGTACTCTCAACCCTAAACGCCAAGCCCAAACTCAAAATGAAAAGTCCGCAAGCCTGAACCCAAAGCCTAAGCTGTAAGATCTGTCTAAGCAGATATGGGAGTTTCTCAAAATTAGGGGTACCTTTCTGAGGCTCCCCATAGTAAGGACTATAGCATATTAGGGTCTACATTGGGGTCCCCCTGATATACTACAAAAGACTCGTCTTTCCCCTAGCAGTAACCTACAACTTGCGTTTGTCCCTACCTAAGCACCATAGGTTTAGGGTTTAGGGTTATATAGGGTTTTATAGGGTTTAGGGACCACATGATCCCAGTGTGAATATTCTTTTCCTGCTGATGCTTCAGTTGATGCTTCATTCATGGCAGCTATCCAGGCCACTGCACTCTAAAAACTCAGGCACCCTCTCTCTCTCTCTATATATATATATATATGGTAAGATATATCTGTATACCGGCATATATATATATACACATATATACAAATATATATATATACACATATATATACGCAGGTATAAATACAAATATATATATATATGTATATATGACTTTTCGTATTCAATGTCTTTGCTGAAAAAGCCGGCCCGGTGGTTAGTACGGAATGATGCAATGGCATAGAACAGAACAAGGAACTAGTAGATCATCGGGAAGATTATGGATTATATAGGCGATTCTATAGGCCTCCTAGAGCCTTGACCCTAAAAACTACTTCAAGATTACTGGGGATTATGTAGGGCTATATAGAGGCTACTATACACCCGCACAATCCTTAAAGTACTGAACTCCAAACCCCTCAAATCCGAAACCCCTAAACCCCAAACGGTTCCCCCCTTCCCCACCAAACTTCCAACCCTAAGCCCTAAGTAGTAGCTTCCATGTTGGTTTCCATCATCCGTGTGTAAACCCAAGAAAAACCCTATATGAGCCATAGTCTGAACTCCTAGCATCCCCCATTATCTTCCTATAAAATTCCCCTATATAATTCAAATGTAATTAATACCTCTGCTTAGTTTAGACCCTAAACTCTAAAGCCTAATCAATTAACCCCCTATATACCCCCGTATAATCACCATAGACCCCCTTCAAGGAGCTTAGGTTATGGTTCATATAGCCCTAAACCCTAACCATTCCCTACTTGCAAGTTAGTTCCGGTGGCCTGCGGAGGCCGTGGCTCAGCAAAAGACACTTCCTTTGGCCGAAGCGCCTCATGTCAGGGACTTTCTCTTTGCACCCTTAGGGTTTGTAGAGTTTGGGATTTGTAGGGTTTTGTTTTTGTAGGCTTTAGGGATGGTACCCTAGGATTTTTGGGGCCTCACAAAGATTAGGGGTCCAAACTTAAAGTCTTCCATCAGGGTTAGAGGGGTTCTCATGTTTGGGTTTTGGGACAGGGCTGCCTGGGTATTGGTGAAGTTCGTTTTTTCATATATATGGGGGTTCCCCAAAATTAGGGGTGTCTTATTTGGGTGTCCCTATAATACGGATTCTAATACTTTGGGGTCTATATTGGGGTCCCCCTTTTTTGGGTCTACCGTGCACACATCAAAGAAGCATGTAGTTTCAGAAAGTTCGCATACTTATATGGATGTTACTAGAGGACATGTAGGGGCCTCAAGGATCCGTACGGGGTGTAGAGCTTAATTACAATTTCATGCAAAGGTATTGAGAAGAACCGGCTAGATGCTTTAGGGGAACTAAGCCTGCTACTTCTAACAGTATGCGCGAACCAACAACTTCGCCCACATGTCAGTCAAGTGATCACCATACATCTTTAGCATCATCAACCCTCTACCCAGAACCTTAAACCCAAACCCTAAACCTTAAGCCCTAAACCCTTATTTAGGGTTTGCGGCTTGGGGCTGTTGAGGTTTTAGGGTTGTTTATAGCTTGAGGTCTCGGCTTGTCCAAGATTTCGGGTTCTTTAGGGCTTTGGGTTCTTTACGGCTTCAGGTTCTTCAGGGTTTGGGGTTCATTCGGGTTCTTCAGAGCTTGGTTTTTTTCAGGGCTTGTGTTGTGTAGGCTTTTGGGTTCTTTAGTGTTTCGGGGTTGTTTAGGGTTTCGGGTTGCCATTTTGAAGTCCAAGTTGAGGGTCATCGCATACTGGTTCTTGGAACGGAAAAAGGGAATAGAGCATATAGGGGCTATATTAGGATTGTATTCCTACATGCCGGACTTTCGATGAAGTTTGAATACATCTCGAATTTGGGCTTGTTGTAAGGAACCACAATTTGGTTACCGCCCCCCGCCCCCCTCCACCCTGTTATGTAGGTCTTGGAAACTGCCCGCTTCTACCGCACTTGCTGCGGTAAACCAGGAGCCCAAAAACCAAGGCCTCTGATGCCCAGCCCCATACCCTGAAGCCCTGAGCCGGAATACTCGGTTGGGGGTTTAGGGCTGGGGGTTTAGGATTTAGGCTTTAGTAATTTAGGGTTAGGATTTAGGCTTTAGTAATTTCATTTAGGGTCAGGACTTAGGGTTAGGATTTAGGCTTCAGGGTTTAGGGGTCTTTCTGTATGCAATATTTGTATACATGCATGCCAGCAATCCTGCTCCCCTGGGTCCCGCCCAAGGCTCCCTTGACATTAGGTAGATTCCTTAGGACTCGCGAAAAGGACCTAAGTGAAGGACTCCAACAAGGGGATCATAAGGGAACACGCAGTTTCTTGGAGAGTCGTCCCACCAACACAATTTGAAGGTCTAATGACTAATGGAGGTATCCTACACCAGAGGTATACAGCGAGCTCAAACAACATGATGCTGGCACGTATTCACTTACTGGTTCTTAATATGGAAAAAGGGAACAT